CACGGTCCGACTTTGGAAATAATTATGCATAAAATGGACTCAGGACAAGGTGCGTTTCCTATAAGTCTTTTTACCAATATGACCAAGTTGCGAAAACAAGGTCAAACAACTTCTATAAAACTCAACGAATTCATCTTTATGACAGGATGCTAGGTCAAGGACTTGAATAACAGCATATTAAGGCCTACTCATCATATAATTATAGGAAAATTCTATTATCATCCCTTCGTAACCTTTTACTACCGAGAGTGAATACAGCTCTTATTCAAGATCTGCTAGTTTATAAACCTCATTTGGATAGGCCTAGTACTTCTTCACTTTAAGGCAATCCTCCTTTTGTTTCCGGGGGAGCCAATTCACGAATCCCTTCCAACGATTTTTTCCTTTAAAATGAAAAGTCGAATAACATTAAATTATTAAAGGATTTCTTAAATGTTTATTTATCTATTGAATTTTAGACTATTTTACAGATGACTTGGGGGAAATGCTTTTCAGATTATGGGATAGTATTCAGATAAGGTTCATATCAAAAGTTGAACTCTCAATACAAGATATTAACAGGTTTGCATGTCAGAATACCCTATGTCCGAGTTGGCCAAGAAAAAATAGCAATTAATTCCTATTGCATGCTTTTCTATATAGATTTGGAAAATTAGTTACATTTGCATTCACTGCCAACATTATGTCGTAACGTTATTAGATGCTCAATCAGCATACTGGATGAAAATATTTATAGTGATAACTGGTGTTCTATCTTAGATTTATTGATGGCTTTCATCATCGCCAAAATTCTCAGAAATGGAAGTTTGTATTTTATACAGATTTTCTCCCGACTACTCTATTTATGATTACCGGCCTTCACTTGAAACTCCCGTGGATATTACTACATATTCCTGTGCTCCTGCAAATTATCCACTTTCCGAGCAGAGATTGACGCTTTACCAAGAGGAAGTCATCCGATGGATTTCAGAATTCGTTTATACCGGACAAAGAATCTTCGAACTTAAAAAGCAGTAAGAAATCTTCAATAAATTTTTTTTCAATTATTCAATCTTGATTGGAGTCATTAGTTATTAATTTCCTCTTATTATCAATTACCATTTTTACACTGTAGTACTTTATGTTTCGATGTTTTGATTATTAATATATAATGAGACTAACTTACGAATATTAATCTATACTTTATGATCTATTGGCAGAATCCTTGTGAAATCTTGCTGTTTTGGCATTTGCACCCATACTCGCTAATTTTTCCCCCTTAAGCAATTTTATTTATTCAAATCACTTTCTACGTATTCGAATAAATCATCTATCCTTTTTCGCTGTCTATTTATATATCTACAAACGTTAATACAAATATTTATAAGTGTGTTTGTGCTTTATCTATAAACTGCTTTGTATAAGACTGTTTATAAGGTACTCGTTGCACGTTATACAAGAACCTTCAAATCAACAATGATTTTTGTTTATAAAATGAGTTAGCTTGCATTCTTTACGACTGCTCATTTTAATTTGAGGAAGGGCTAACTCAGATTGCCCAGGTTGAATCTTTGTTTAGGTCTCATTTGTGAAACATTTTTGAATGTACCAAGTCAATGGTCCGATGGTGGAAAACACCAACAATATGACAGGAGACGCAGGACTAGCTACGTTCCAAAATGTCTTACTGACGCTCAGACCAATTTGCAAAAACGAGATCGAACCAAAACTATAGAGCTAAATGAGACTGCGATCAAATAAAAGGACATACCATCTTGGTCTTCATATCCACGTACTCGTCTATAAAATCTATTAAAAACTTGAGCCTTTGAGAAGTTGTTTGATCTTGTTTTCGCAACTTGGTCATATTGGTATGAAGATTTAGAGGAAGGGATCTAGTCCGGAGTCCATCGTATGCATGATAATTTCCAAAGTCGGACCGTGAACCTGGTGCATTCCCAGACGTTTCGCCGGCATCGTCAATGAGTTTTGTTATTATTAGCACCATATTACGACTCGTCAGATACAACTGAAGCCGATCCTTTGACCAAACGTGTGTTAAACACTTGTGGTATTTTTCCTTCTACCCTGGGCTATTCACATTTCTTATATCCTCATATCATTCATTGTTACAATTTTTACCGTACTTATTTAGATGTAGTGTGGTATGCCCTTTTGAGCGGTATTCATGAGTACCCTCTACACTCCACGCTGGTGTTCTCAC